AAGTGTTTATTCCAAAACCCAATATCCCAATATGCTTACAAAGAAGTTAGGGATGGATTTCCTTAGAAACTTGCAGATCATCCCTTTGCTTCCAGAGTTCATGAAAGGTATTACTGTCTACTTTATTATAAAGCAGTAAGAATAGTTTTTATATGCATGTTGTTTAAAAAAAAAAAAAAAATAGACACTGGTCACGTACTCTAATATCCATCATGGAGTTGATTTATTCCAAAACACACTATTTGGTCAATCTGATTTTTGGTCAGTAAAAAATTTAATTATTTGCTATTGGCTAAATTGTTTTTCATTATAGTTGTTGTGATTTAAAAGGTATTTCAGTGTTGTGTGGTAACTTACTGTTCACTTCTGTTTAAGAAACCCTGATGGCAGGGAAATTAGTAAAATATTTTGGAAGGGGCAGAGTTAATCCTGTCAGTACAGTCTTTTGCTGGAGGCTTTTTCATGCAAGTGTATGAGCAAGCAAAGCGGCTGCTTGACTTCTGAGAGTTTTTCCTAGAGCAGCTTTTCTAGTCTTTGTAAACGTGAGGTTTTGCCATGCAAATGCTCTCTTACCAAAATTTGACTCTTGTTTGATTGTGCAACTATGAAAATTTACAGAATTGCCCGTTGTTGTTGGACCAACAATTCCACAAAAAGAACAAGAGAGTTACTGGTTATATTAATATTTTTAAACTTTTTTCCACAGCTTGAAAAAAGCAAATATTACTTACGAAAACATGTTTGAAGAAGTGCCCATTGTAATTAAGAACTCATACCTGATCAATGTGATGTTGTGGGAACTGGAAAAGAAATCCGCAGTAGCCGATAGACATGAATTGCTCAGTCTGGCTAGCAGGTAAGTACTTGTTACAATAATGGCTGTATTTTTATTCGCTTTCCCAAACCACAGTTTAACACCTTGGGTGAAATCCCAGTCTCATTACAGTCCACGGAATCTTTGCCTTGACTTTTAATGGGGTTAAGACTTTACCCTTCATGTTCTTTCGCTGAAGGAAAACTGCATGGTAAAACCATAGCATTAGATTCAAGGGCTAAATTCAGTCTGTAATCCGCATATGCCTCTGCTGCTTGAAGTGTGTAATCTTTTCAGTAGTGTATATTTCTTCAAGAAAATACAGGCATTCAGAAAATTCAGGCAAGTAGAGCTGGAAATAAAAATTGGCTTTGTTAAACACTTCTTAAGTAATTCTATAGATTATTCTCATAAAAAAAAAATTGTTCTACTTTGGTAGCAGGATGCATTTGAAAATAAAATAAAAATAATGAAGGCTTTATCTGGGAAACTGACAAAAATGCTCAGATTGATAGTCATGACAGACAGCATTCAGTAAGAGTTTCTAGAACGATCTTCTCGTAACTTTATCCAAGAATAACTTTTTGTTCTTGTAGCAATTTGCCCTGAAAATACATTTATGATAACAAAAGAAGGCACGACCTCTAGCAGTATAATCAGAAATTTGGTGGTGCTTAAATCCTGCACAACACAGCACAGTTAATTGAACTGTTACTGGGCTGACCAAAATAACCAGAAACACAAATGATGCCATATCTTGTTGCACGTAGAAGCTGGGGTCTATTCACTGATAGATTTTTGGGGTGTAACGCTTTCTTTTTACATCTAGGTATTGTCTGCCAAGATTCTGATCCCCTCTGACAGCCAAGTTAGCTGAATGCTAGGGGCCTCTCTACTTCTTCCATTTCTCTGCTCCCCCCAGCCCTACCCTACCCCCTGCCCTTGATGTCAGGCTGTTGTTAATGGATCCATATTGCCAATGGTCCGTATGTTGCCTGAGTTAGCAGAAACTTTCCACACTTTTTATCACTTGAGCTTACACGGATGTATTAAGGGATCTGTTCGCTTTTAGAGAAATTGGTCAAGAGAGAACAGGTATAGGGTTGAACTCTGCCAGGGAATTTACAAATGTCGCAAAAGATACTTAAGTCAATAATTTTGTCCAGTGAGTTGTAACTTTGCACCTTGGAATGAACGAAGTGAAGAATTTTTGCTGAGATGTTCAGCCTGTTTGACTTTACAGGTTTTCTGTTAGGCCCTTTCCTTGGTCAAAGGTCACAAAGCTTTTACCATCTGAGAAGCGGTTGGGCACTGGGCTTAGGAGATGACAGTGATTCCTGATGAGCTCTAACGCTTTACTGTGAAAAGTAGGACTGTGCTGAGGATACGGCAGGTTTCCAGGTGTCTGACAGCATCGCCCATCATTATTTCTGTGGGTTTGCTCCTGTAAAAAGAGTTGGGATTACCCAGCACCCGTACTTCCTAGCACAGGCTGCTGCTAGTCATGCAATGCAGTTCTGGAAATGCAAATTAATTTGAACAGATCACAAACCAGTTTTTCATCAGCTGTACATGTAACGGAGCAACTGTTCCCTACCAGTGCCCTGGATCAACATAAAAGATAAGAACTGTACAAATTAATTTCCTTTCTGGAATGACTATGTTAACCTGGTGCAATACAGGCTTTTGTGTTGGTCCTCACATCAGTAAACAGGATGAGAATTGAACAAGAAAAATGTGAGTGCTAAAGAAAAAGGAAACTTCATCATTTGTCTTTAGGAATCCTTCACAAAAGGAAAAAAAGGGGTAACTTTTTTTTTTTCTTAGTGAATCAAAGTTTCTTTTTCATGGGTGTTTTCTGGGAGCAATGCAGCGCTGGTCTTATGATGACACAGGTGGAACTGGATTCTTGGTAAACTTGGTTAAAAGTGCCTTTTAAATTGTGTTTCTCTGAACTTACTCAGTTACTGTCCTGTAGACTGGCAGCAATTTTTTGAGCTTATTGAAGTCTAGAATTTCCCACTAATGGGGAATTAATTCAACAGATTCATCAGTTTTCAGAGGTATTTCTGAATTATGTTTCCTGAACTGACTTTCCTGGCAGCACTCTTCTAGCTCACCTAGTCTACTTGAGGAACTTAAGGTGCTTAGTTTGGTTTGAAGGAGAGAAACTTTTGGAAATTACCTCAGTGGATTTATTTATATATTTATTTATTTAGAATATTTGATAGCTTCTTTTAGTTACCAGAAAGGTAACATTCAGTGATATCTTACATTGGTATAACTCAGCAGCTGACAAATAAAACATTTTAATGCTTGTTTATGCAAGGTAGGGTGGCTTATAATGCCTGTCGAAATATTTAATTAGTTTTTATATAAATTCAACTATGAAGATTTCTCTGTCAGAGTTTGTTGCCTGACGTAGGGGAGTTCAAATCCCCACTGTTCTGGAGTTTTATTTTCAGATTGCGTTTCCTTATTTTTGTCTTTGAATACTTGTGGCTGAAACATTTCAGATACCAACTTTTAATTTTGATGCATATCCTCCTCACTTAACTTTGCTGTTGTAGAATTAGTTGGCAGTAACTTGAAGGCTACTTCTTTCTCCTCTTTTCTTAAGGGTTTGGAGCTGGTTGGGGTTTTTTGGGGTTTTTTATTTTTGGTCCTTTGGGATCTTCTGAAGCAATGGTTTTGGCACCGAAATTGTTTACCCATAGTTCTCTTCTGGAGAGTTTGTTTCATCAAGATTCTCACATATTCAGCCACCCACCTTGTCTGAGTTTGAAGCTGTACCTATTTGAGGTACTTTGTCTGCACCTTAATATCTTTCTCTTTTGAAGTACATTTGTGATAATTGTATAGAGTAGTTTGCTTTTTTGGGCATAAATTTGTGTTTCACTTGTGAAATCTGAGTTGACTGGAATATTCTAGGCAAAGAAGTGGAAGGCAGACTAGCACAAGGCTAGCAAGTAATAGCAAATAAAGTCCTTTTGCTCAAACTGTTACCCTTCTGCTACCCTTAAGGACCAAAATGTCTTGAAGACCTTGGAGTACTGCCAGTCTTTTGATAGAGACTCAAGAATTAAAATCCTGTCAGATAATGTTCCAGATCTTCAGAGAAATAATTACAACCAACTTTCCCATTCTCATCTATCTCTTCCCTATTCTATTGATGATCTAGTTTAAATTAAAAAAAGCTTTTTTGTGGTCTAACTTCATAATAGGGTTGTCCCATAATATCTCAATTTGTCTCAAGCAATTTTTCTAATAGTGTGCGTCAGTAGAAGCAAACATGTGCTGAGCATTACTGCAGTAACATCTACTTGGCAGATACATTTTTTTCGAACATCAGATGCAGTATTTTTGCAAAAGTGACATAAGGAGGGTTACTTGGGCTTTTGAAAACAATATTAACCTTTATACATTGTACTGCTTATTCAGAAATCTCAGTGTGCTTAACGGATTATTAAGATAATTATGAAAATCTCTAATTTGCAGATGGAGGAAGCTGACACAGAAAGGGTAAATGTGTTGCCCAAAGGCACACATCAAAGTCAGAGTAGAAAGGGAATGGAGCTCAAGACTCTAGAATTACATATCTCATTCAAACAAAATCCTCTTAAAAAGAGCACAGGTTGAACTCAGGCTGAAATGCTGAGATGTAAACAAGTTCTGTTAAGTGGTGGGAATGTTCCTCAGAAATATTTAATCAAAAAGATGTGCTTTGCCCAGCAGTACCTCTCTAATCCACCCAAAGCTGTTCCCACCAGGAGAAATGCTGCACGAGGTGGCACCTTTCTCAAAAAGATGTGCTTTGCCCAGCAGTACCTCTCTAATCCACCCAAAGCTGTTCCCACCAGGAGGAGAAATGCTGCACGAGGTGGCATCTTTCCCAGAAAACGGTGACTCTGAGAGAGACCTCAGTGGAGCTGATGGAAAGTGGAAAAAACGAGCAGCAGATACAGCATTTCCTTATGCTTCCTCTTGCTGTTCCATGTTCTCATCTTCCTTAGCCCGGGTGCAAGCAAAATAAAAGGAAATAAATGAGGGGATCCACTTAAAACGATTGTAGGCAAGTTTTGGTGACCATTTTTTTTTGGACGCCATCTGCCTCAGAATTGTTATACCCAACACTTAGGTGTCTGGGTACAACACTGATTCCGATCCCGGTGGCTCGGTGCCTCTGCTCCCCCCTGGCCCAGCTCAGGTACATGTGCTTCTCTGAAAGTGCAAGCTGAGGCCCACAAGCTGTGTGTAGAGACAGTTAAAACTAATGAGCAGGATACGGGAAGCTGAGAACGATCTGGATTTCTGCCTCTCTTTGAAGCTTTGGTGTCTGACTCGAGGCTGCATTTTGGGTGTTTCAGACCTTTAGTTGAGCATGTGTCTGGAGTCCTTTCCCGATTAAGGATGCTGAAGGAAATGTGGGCTTCATGTGTAGTTCCCCATTACGAATCCTACAGAAACGGAGCCAGTTTGAGGTTCAAGCCCCAGCTGCTTGCATCATTCCTCCCCACTACTCCCATTTAATCTCTACATCCCTCCCACCCTCAAAGATTTTTATTCCCTCATCTGTTTCAGAATATGGCTGTGCAAATAGCTTTGTGGAATAGTCTGGTGGAAAAAGTCAGGCTCCCACTCTTCCCTTCCAGGCTTTCCCTCAGCCTCCCTAAAAAATAAGAAACAAACCCCAGCAGAGGGTGTTTTTGCATTTACAGTAGACTATTTCACTGAAAGAGTTTAAAGTGTGCCCACGCAAACAGCTGAATCCATACAGCTGAGAGTGCTGTAATCCTTGGGTAGAGAGGGAGGGAGAGGCAGGAAGATGCTGATGCTGGAACCTCTTAAACTGGCTTTGTTGGCAACAGCAAACTGCACCTTTGCTCTCCTTAAAATATATCTGGAAAGGGAGGCTCTGGTGATATGAGCATTCCCTCGGAAAGAGGAAGCCTTGCATCTAGGACTCTTGGCCAGATCCCTATCCTAACAGGATGCCCTCGTGTAGTGAGTGATCTGGGAGTAGTTAATGTACAGTTGTTTCTTTCTCCTTGGGTGATAGATCACCCAATGCAAGACACGCCAGTGAGAAGTACAATGCAGAAAGAACCTTAATTGCTGTCTGCAGATTAGGCTACTCTGTTCACAGGTTTCTACATCTCACCCTAATTATTTGACCTTTGTACCTGATGATTGTTAAACATGGAATCAGGATTAATCCATGTGGCAAGGACTTGATTTCATGTCTGTACTTCTAGGTTAAGGATTATACCCCATCAAGAATAAGGCTGTTCCAGCAAAAATGTACATCATAACAAATTGCTTTGCAGGCTATCCTTTCTAGTCTGTTTACTTTCTAAACAGACTTTGACAGTCTGCCTTTGACAGTTTGTATGTGTTGGTCCTTTTTTTGGCATTTTTGGTTATGTCATCCATGCTACAAAGATAAGTCTCAAGTGATAAATTTGTGGAAGTTTTACAGGTCACTCACTACAGGCAAGTGATCCTAATAATAATTCTGGTCAAGATGTGTTCTCACATTAGGTTATTCCTTCCTTAGATATGTAAGAATCCATATGACAGATTGTCATGGTTTAACCCCCATCAGCAACTGAGCACCACACAGCCACTCACTCCCCCATGGCAGGATGAGGGAGAGAATTGGATGAGTAAAAGTGAGATAACTCATGGGTTGAGACAAAGACAGTTCAATAAGTAAAGCAAAACCCTTGCGCACAAGCAAACCAAAAGGAACTAATTCACCTCTTGCCATTGGACAGTCAGGTGTTCAGCCATCTCCAGGAAAGCCAGGGCTCCATCATGCGTAACTGGTACTTAGGAAGAGAAATACCATTGCTATGAACAGTCCCCACCTCTTCCTTCTCCTTAAATGCTGTGCATGACATCGTATGGTCTCAAATACCCAGACAGTCAGTCTGGATATTGGTCAGTTGGGGTCAGCTGTCCTGGCTGTGTCCCCTCCTGTGCACCCCCAGCCTTCTCGCTGGTGGGGTGGTGTGAGGAGCAGAAAAGGCCTTGACTCTGTGTAAGCACTGCTCAGCAGTGACGAGAACATCCCTGTTTTGTGAACACTGTTTTCAGCACAGATCCAAAACACAGCCCCATGCCAGCTGCTGTGACAAAAATTAACTGTCCCAGCCAAACCCAGCACACAAATACTTTTGACTGCCCTAAGTGCAGAAGATCCATTCTGGTTTTTTCCCCTTTTATTATCTGTATTTTTCCCCCAAGAAAGAACACAGTCCCCGTGTGTGGGCTTTCAGATGCTTAGCATGATAGCAATTCTGCAGCTGATGCTTTTCTCCCACAAAGATTCACTGATACCCAAGGTGTGGTGGTCTCCTGGAGCTAGGTCTTTCACCTCAGTTCATGAGTGTGTTCAGATCGTCACCAATGGGTGATCTCAGTCCTGACGTGTTTCAGATGAAACTAAATGGAGAATAGGCTTTAGGAGGATACCTACTGTGCTTGAGCCACTAATGGGCTTTCCGATCACCATGTCAGAACTAGTGGTAAGAAACACTGCCTGAAACACATGTAGCGGGGACATGGGTTTCTTAGCACCAGCTGTCACTTCCTGTTGATCTGCACTACTCGCTGATCTAAATGTAAACTCATTTAATTGACTCTTTTGCTGAATCAGCTGACTGAAATGTATCCATTGAAAAAGCAGTATGTATCCATTTATTACCAGTGCCCTCAGAACAAGAAATGCAAGTGCTGAGCTCCGCGTTGTCTACATTCGACTATCACAGAGGAAAGTGAGCTTTGCTGGGGATGTGAGCAGCATTTACTGGCTCACCCCCTTCCCAATTTTTTTATTTTTATTTTTTTTTTTAGTTGCACTGATGCACAGGGGGTACTTAGCTACCGACCAGTGTGATCTTTGAGATCTGCTGTAGGGAAGTGCACAAGGTAAGGAGGTGCCTAAAAGAGCCTTTGTGCAGTTTTACATCATAGACTAAGTAGGTGTAGGATGAGTCTTACGGGCTGGAGCAATGCAATTGAACTTCCTAAATCTCACCAGAATAAACTGCAGCTGAATCAAACTTTCTTAAACTTTGTATATATACATGTTACAAATTACTTCCTATTGGTCTTTTTATTTTTTTTTAAGAGGTGGGGCAAAAAAGGGGTATCAACCACATGAGAACTGAGGAAAAGGCTGGTCCTGTATTTGCAGCATACTTATCACTTCATGTCGCAGTTCACATCTGTTTAAGTTATCTGTTTTTAGCTTTTTGTTTCCCTGGCAATGAGAGCAAACACTTATATTACTGCGACTCCTAACAATAACTCTCTGTTTCTGTATTCTGCTGTACTAAGCTGGTCCCAAAGAGATTCACAGAAAATCATTCTTTGTAACCGGCTATATTTCATATGGACACTATCTGTAAAATAGTTATGTATTCTTGATCTCCACATACCCTATTAGTGTGTACCTACCTAGGCATTTCTGGTAACATCCAGTTCTAACACTAACTATGTATAATATAAACTCTATAAAAACTGAAAATATGCACACCCCTAGCCATGGCAATATTCCACGGTCGGGGAATAATTTACACTTAAAGGGATGTGCATAGTATTACGTATGTGGTTCCTTTTTCACTTTAGGCATGTCTCTTCCAGTTACTTTCCCCAGTCCATAGGGTGTAGGATGGTGGGAATCCATTGTAAAAGGCAGAAGGGATCTCGGATAAGGTGGAGAAGCAGTAACTGAAGGATATAATTCTGACATAAAAGTGCACTGTTCTTTTTATTTGAAAGCATGAATAGTAGTGGATTTCAGCTGAGGAGAAGGATGGAGTTTAGCTTTTTGAGTCTTTGGTCTTCAGCCAAGTAGGACTGGGTAAGGTTTAGATCAGAGCCAGCAAGCTAGCTGCTGATCAAGGGGTCAGTAGAGAACAGTGAATATCCTCCTTTTCTGCACTACCCTGTAAACACAATTAGGATGAATACTGTCTCCATGGGCACCAACCTAAAAACTTCCAAAACTTTAACTTGGAAGCTATACCTTAAGCTGGATATTCCTGCAAAATACTGAATCCATTGCTAAAAATGGTTACAATAAAAGTTGTTTAACAGACTGCATTTGTCTGGCCAAGGCAGTAGATCGCATAACTGGAACTGGACGCGCCCAGCCTAGCTGCTTCCATGTTGCCTATGGTATGGAATGTGGAGCTGGCTGGACTGGACGCAACACTCCCTTCTCAACAGCGAAGATCAAGCGATGTCTCCGAACTTCCAGGCGTGGTTTGATAGAGTAGTTAATGAGATGATGGAGTTTTGAAAAGTATTCGTGAAAAAACAAACAGTAACCTGAAACCAGACTCTTTGAACACCTCACCTGGAACATTGTTCAGGGTTGCATGTCACAAATGCATCAGACATTCTTTTAAATTTTTGACCTGCGTCTGTAATATCAGTAAATTCATGCAAGGCATTGTTTTTTCATAACTATGTCACATATGCAATGTGACAAAGATGCTAAGGGAGGAGATGCCATGTAAAGTATTGCCAGTTAAATATATGAACAAAGATAACCAGGAATTTAAAAATTAGTAAGCTGTGCCATTAGTGCAGAAAGACTGGTCAAGTGACTTGAAATGAATTTTAAATTTTAAATATATTTTTAAAAATAAATTCAGTATTTCATGAATCTTTCTTGTATTTCAGTAATCACCTGGGGAAGAGTCTGCAGCTGCTGATGGACAGAGTGGATGAGATGAGCCAAGACATTGTTAAATACAATACATACCTGAGGAATGTAAGCAAACAGCAGCAGCAGAAACATCAGGTTGGTAGACCATGGAAAACCTAAATGAGAGGGTTTGGGGTTTTTTCCACAAAATACAGTTTGGGAGGTCATAGAATCATAGAATGGTTTGGGTTGGAAGGGACCTTGAAGATCATCCAGTTCCAACCCCCCTGCCATGGGCAGGGACACCTTCCACTAGACCAGGTTGCTCAAAGCCTCATCCAGCCTGGCCTTGAACACTTCCAGGGATGGGGCATCCACAGCTTCTCTGGGCAACCCGTTCCAGTGCCTCACCACCCTCTCTGTGAAGAATTTCTTCCTGATATCTAATCTAAACCTCCCTACTTTCAATTTATACCCATTACCCCTTGTCCTATCACTACAGGCTCTTGTAAAAAGTCCTCTCCCAGTACCCTTGTAGGCCTCCTTCAGGTACTGGAAAGCTGCAATGAGGTCTCCTCGGAGCCTCCTCTTCTCCAGGTGCTATCTAAGACATGAATTTGGATCTAACCAATATAAAATTCGTACAGAAACACATCCAATAAGTAGATTCATAAAATGTGCTTGTCAGTGGGGAATTATCCAGTGGGTTCACTTCTGCTGACATGTAGTGTGAAATGGTCGTTTTGCTATTTTACAGGTTTGTTAGTGATTTATGATACACCAAAATCATTGATAAATATGCTGTGGACACGGGAAATGGAAGTTTTTTAAATGAAAGAGCTGAAACAAGTGAATTGTTCCAAAACAAACTGTTTTAATACCATCACATGTAGTCATACATCTAGAAATAAAGAAATACAGTCTGTATTTGTCAGATGGAAGTGACATTTTATTCATGCTTTGTATCAGAGATAGGTGATGCTGATCAGCTGATGCTGACTTTTAATTCCTGATGCCAAAATGCTTCTTTTAAATCCAAAATAGTTGCATTAGAGAACACTGGGTATGGAGACCAGCTCTAGATGGCCCTGCTTGAGCAGAGGGGTTGGACAGGGTCACCTCCAAAGGTCCCTTCCAACCACAACCACCCTCTGATTTGGAGACAGTCTTTCTTTATTTGCTGTTGCTGCATTTGGTAAAGCAGTACTGTGTCTGATGATAGAAGAATACTGCTAAATTGGAAAAAAGCACCATGAGAATGATTTAAAAGCCTGGAAAGGAGATCTAGGTGAACAGAGTTCACTTCATGTGGTAAATGAAGGTGACGAGTGACTTGCTTACTCAAGAAGTACCTGCATGAAAAATAAATTTGAACTCTTCAGCAGACAGAGGTATGACAAGACTCAGTATCAGCCAACTGAAAACGGGCCAGGCCGCTTTAAAGATAAAATATTGCAGGTATTGCTCCACCGAGTAGCTAATTATTAAAAGGGCGCCAGTGGTTCATGTGAAATGTTTGATCACTGCCTGTTTTAAAATCAAAATTGTCGTCTTTCACTTAGGCGTATCTTGAACAGGAGTACTTGAGGCAAGCAGCACATCATCAGTGGTCTCTCCTGGCTTTGTAATTCCTGAGGAGAGAGAAGCTTCATGCATGTTATCTTCAGGAAATGTATTTTCCTTTGCTGCTGAATTTGAACAGAAAGATGGCATCCACTTCCAAGGTTTTTGTTAGTAACAAGGGGATATATTTATGTTGAAAAAAGCAGAGCAGAGGAGGTTCCATGGTGTCTCAGTTCGTTTCTTTACTAACTATGGCTGCTTTAGTAGTGGCTCATTGCAGCATAGTTAGTGGTCTTAACTTTGCTTTTAAAACGGAGCAACTGTGATTAAGCGCAAGCCGTTTCAATTGAGGATAATAGGCAGACTGCTGAGAAGTGAATGGGATAATGCAAAGAAAGAAGAAACGACATGCAATTCACATACAAATATGGGCATTTAAGATTTTATTTTTAACATTGTCCGAAAACATGTATTTGTCACTACTACTGGAAAAAAAATTACTTCATTTCGGTATGCCACCAAGTATGAACTGTTTTCAGACTCTTATGCATAGATACATTTAAGTAAGTGAGAGAAAACATCCTGTACTCTTTGGCTTGTTTATTTTAGAGATTTTTTTTTTTAATGTTTCACATAAGGGCTTCGATAGACAAACCTTACGAGTAATTCCTGGCTGCGATACATGGTACAAAATCTCACATACGTGGGCTTGAATGTATGTACTTCTGCAAGAACACATGTTTATCCAAGAGCTGAAGAAACGCTTTGCCATAATTTTTATAAGGTTAGAGTAATCTGCATGGCAAAGGGAAGCACTGAAAACAAAACCGATTTTTTTTTAATAGCAGGATAATTTCTACAAACTTTTACTCTGATACATCCCCTTGTAACCCACAAAGAAATGGCATCAGAGTGGCAGAACATCTAAATAACTGGAATGGAGAAATGAAACATTATGCTTTGTTTCAGCCACCACTTTGCTCTCAGTTTAGAGTTAATATTTTTTGGCTTAAAATACCTTGTTTGATCAAGTTCTCTTCCCCTTTCACATTAATATTGTTTTGACCTTTAACTTGCATAAAAATTATCATCTCTGGTTTGTGTAACTATTCGAGGTAATGGCTTCTCATACCTACATATTCCAACCTTGTTTTCCTTTTTTTGAGTGGGGAAATAGAGGCCTTTATACTATGCTGTATTCTTTCCATGAGATACAGCATATATCTGTATGAAAATAAATTTAAAAATGAACCCCACTACCTCAGTACCACAGTATTTTCCAGTGCCTCACTCAAGGTGCCAGCTTGGCAGGGCTGAATGCTTGTTACCAGGGAATTGAAATAATGCAAATGCAGTTCAGTTTATTACAAATAAACTGAATTGCATCAAGTTTAATTTTTAAAACATACTTGCTGGCGAGGTAAAGAGCATCTGTAAAGAAAAACTTTTTACTGTTTTGGAATTCCCATTGAATTTTGTTTCCGTTGCTCTATTTTCAGTACCAGCAGAGACGTCAGCAAGAAAATATGCAGCGTCAAAGCCGAGGAGAGCCCCCTCTTCCTGAGGAGGACATCAATAAACTTTTTAAACCACCACAGCCGCCTCCAAGAATGGAGTCACTCCTTATTGCAGGTAACATTCTCACAGCCTCTTCAGCTCCTTTTTTCATATATGAGTCTTAGCTTGGGAAAAAGTGCAGGTTTTACCTTAGAAAGCATTGTAATCTTTCACTACCTTTCCCATTATGGTGTAAGGTTTTGGCATTGGTAATATTCTACATACTGTCCTTTGTTTGGTCAAAGGCAGTGGTTGCAACCCGTGATCTACAGCCCTAGTGTCCGAAGTATCAAGAAAAAAAGCAGCCAAGAAAAACAAGGCAGCCTGTGCCTCTGTTAGAAACGAAGCTTCCGCACAGAGAATTTAAAACCATCTAGGTCAGTAACAGAGGCATGTTGAACTGGCCGTTCCAGCAGCTGAGAAGAGTTTACATTTAATTTCACACAAGATTGGGATAATTTCTTTGATTATATGGCCAGAGTTTTAGGGAAACTTATCCCCATCTCTCTGCACCCCGAGGTGAATGAAAACGTCAACAGGAGCAAAGCGTAGGTGTAGGTCCCACACTCCCAGTTCATTCTGTTTACTGGAATGCTGCTGTATGTATCCACAGTTTGGTACAAAAGTCAGTGCCTGTCCTGTGCCTCTTGGAAGGGTAGAAATGTCTGGGAGCTCACAGGGGCAAGGGAGCAGAAAACCTAGATGCCCTGCTAAGTAATCTAAATTTGGAAAATGTCATTAGAAAGCAAGGTGTTCAGCTGTACCAGGCTTTTTGGATCAGTGAGCTCTCACCTTGTTTTGGACTGAGGGAAAATTAAACCAAAGTTCTGGTAATTTAGGGTACAGAAAAGACTGCTTTGACATTTAAAAAAAGTGAATTTGAACTACCACTCTTAATCTCCTGGTCACTCCAAAATTTATTTTAATATTAATATCGTTTCACAGTACTATTAAGTGCTGCTTTTAGAAGAATTGATGTTCTTGATCTATTATTCCTACCAGGGGCCTTAAAAAAACTATTGTTTTGATATTTTTTACCAGCTAACGAATCCTAGCAGCATTACAGTATTTAAACATTTAGATTTAGCATAGCTTAAAAGTGCAACAGAACTGTGTGTGTACACGTGAGTTTTATGAAAGTAATAGCTTAGGATGAATCATTTCTTAGAAGAGGAGGAATTGAAAACTATTCTACTTAAAGGAAAAAACAGTTTTCAGCAAAGGACTCTCTTCGTTTGTTCTTTTACCATAGTCAGGGGAAGAATTGAAAGCATCCACTTCAACTTAGATGAAGTAAAGAAAGAATAAAACTTAGATCTTTTGTCTCTGAGGCATTTAAAAACTTTTCTAATAGAGCATTAAATTGAGAGTTTATTTGCTTTCTAAACAGTCTTAATTTTGATTAAACTGGCTTCATGTTTTGCTATTCCTAGCTAACAAGGGAAATAACTTCTAGCAGTACGTCTATAAAAATGTTCTGATGGGCGCATTTGATTTGCAAAGCCCTGACAAGTCTTCTCACCCTGATGACTTTTGAAATAGGTAATACAGTGAAATATTAGGTGGAAAAAAAAAAGGCTGGCAAAATGTCCAGCAGGACTACCACAATTTTCAATCTGCTACTGAAAAATATTTGTTACGAATATTTTAATAGGGACAGCAGCTGTGTAAGAACAGAACTGAAATTCAGTCTTCAGTATTTTTAGAGTAACTAAATTGAATAATTGATGTCATTAAGCTGCCAGTACGGCAGGAATAATTGTTTGTTCTTTTTATTGTCGTATGTCTTTTCAGAAATTGGACGTAACAGAGCTGTAGGAAAATTAAGGGGGTTTTGAGCTTACCAGTTTACCTATTCTGCCAGTTTAATTTCTTCTTCTTTCCAAACTTATTTGGGAATACAAAAAATGTAAAATTCCTACGTGTAGAGTAGCTGAGCTGTTTTGCCTCTCTGTATAAATCCCAAAGGTTTTATGCACATTTGACTTTTTAAAAATTATGTTCTAGGATGTCTTTCGGAACTTCAAAACTGACAAGAGTTTACTCTTCTTTCCTATCGACAGGTCAAATTAACACCTACTGCCAGAATATTAAGGAGTTCAACGCGCAGAACTTGGGCAAGCTGTTCATGGCTCAGGCTCTCCAAGATTACAACAACTGAAGGAACTTTGCTGTAGCCCTCAGCTGAAACATCTATTTACAGTTCTACGCTGTTCATGTTCCTCTTGAAAATTTAGTATATTGGGAAAAGTCTTGTAAAACAGAATCACCTTGGTTTGTGTAGAATTCTCCTGTAGGAAAAATAAAGGCAAATCTTAATGATATTTTAGTATTTCCTTATTTGTTGGCCCTTTTGGACTGGAATTTTCTGTGGTCACTCAGGTTTTCTAAATGTTTGGCAGTTATTCCTGTTTAGTCATAGCAAATAATACAGGTTTTATTGAACTTGGAATCTGAAATAAAATGAAATTATTACCAATGTTCAGCATACCTGACTCCACAGAAGAAATTTAAGATTTCCCAGTTTTGGTTGAGAGCTTACAACCATAATGTGCTACAGGCCCTTGGAGCAGTTGCTCTTTTTTATTTAAAATCAATTTGGACAGTCTGGTGTAACAGACCTTCTGTATCACAAATACCTCGTAGGCCTCACATTCGGAACATGCCAAACCAGCGTTAGGTGGAGACTGATCTCCCCCAGGTCATGCTAAGCTGTGTTCCCATTTCCGTTGCCCCCACCAGCTGGACTGAAAGCCGGTGATGCTGCTGAAGTCATCGTCACTGTAGAAGTAGCTAACCTGGAGCAGCGAGTGCGGTGCTACAATACCCGCTCTGTGTTAACTTTGCCGTCGGGCTGTGCCTTTATTCCTGAACTCTGGCTACTTATGTTTTTAACAGGAATGTTAAAGGTTTAATATGTGGCAAGTCACACATGTTACTGTCACTGAGTATTTCGGTTTTCTTCCCTCGAATTCTTTCTTGCATGTGTGATGAGTTCTGAGAGCCTAAAGTGGCTGAAGGAGTCTGGTTTGGTCTTTTAAAATAAGATCCTCTAAAGATGGACCTAACATGGAATATTTCAGCCTCTAAGGTTAATGTTTTGGAAAGTCAGAAGTGTGTGAAAACTGGGGGTTAGACTAAGAACTTAATTTTCCCGTCTAAGCTATAGTGATTGCAGTATTTATGTAAACACGGATGCAAATTTTGCCTTAGCCCTCGTGTATCTGGCAAATTGCCAGTCTGATCTTTTGCCTTGGAAACTTTGGGCACGTCTGTGTTAGCTTTCATACGGTGAACATCTCTGAAATCAGAGTAGTTAAGTATCCTGCTGCAGTGCCACAGGACTGGGCTTCATTTCCTATACAAATTGTATCCAAACCGTGTTAATTTTCTAGTTTTCTGAAGGACCAAAATACCCACCAGGGAACAGAAATAGGAGCAGATAATTAGACTAAGATGACACATTTGAGATAGGAAAAACCCATGGTTTTCTGGATAGCTGGGAGTAGAAGACTGTGTAGTGAGTGTGTATAGAAGGGAAGCAGCAGTATCACACACGCTAGAAGGTCTGCAAAGGAGGTGTTAGCAAAGTAAATACTTGGAATAGGTTGAAGACAAGGTGTGTGTTTTGATTTAGTTTTCAAGATTGAAGAGGTAAATGCGAGAAAGAGGGTAGTAATATTCCACTGTGCTGGAGTTTAACAAAATCAGTGAATTTTATATAGCTAGAACATGCTAAATGTCAATTGAAGCCCATGAGGAAATATGGAAGGCTTCAGTAGAAATTTGTAGCTTCTGTGAAGGTACTGATGTGAGTCAGGCAGGGGAGTGAGATACGAAAGCAGGTAAGGTGTAAGCAGACTTTGGAGATGGTTTGACTCCTCTTCTGAATCACACTTTGGTTTTCTGTCATGGTGGAAATAATCAGGGACAGCCCCCCTGAGCAATGGAGGTGGAGTCAGTGAAGCTGCTGGCTTATAAATGAGAATCGACAGCTGTGGGGATTAAAAGGGAGGGGGCTATGTCTCCTTGCTGGGCCTGGTGTGAGCTTTCCCCACTACCTCTATTCCTAGAACGTCACGTTCTCTTCCTGATGTGAGCGAGCTGGCAGCTCATTCACCATAACACATCTCCTTTCCATTTCTCATCACCAGAGCCTTACCTATATTTTTTTCCTTGGCCATGAAAGGCTTTTCTGTATATCAATAAAAATGTGACACCAGAGTCTTGAAAAATCACCTCTAAACAAGTTAAACTTCATTCAGCGAGCCTGAGTCAAGCAAGGCCCCTGTGCTGTAGTTCCACCTCTGCCGTGCCCCCGGGTAACACATACACACACAGGAGACAACATGTGTGCAGAACTCTAATCCTTTAAGAGAAAACATTACTTTAGAACCCAGCTCTAATTGGCCTGAGTCTTGCAGGCAAGTCTTCTGAGCTGGGTGTTGTGCAGGTCTTTCAAAAATGAGGCTTGAAAGGAGGCAGAAGGGGATGATGGGTTTAGTTTTAATGCTGAAGAATCACAGAATGGTTTGGGTTGGAAGGGACCTTAAAGACCATCTAGTTCCAACCCCCCTGCCATGGGCAGGGACACCTTCCACTAGACCAGGTTGCTCAAAGCCTCATCCAGCCTGGCCTTGAACACTTCCAGGGATGGGGCATCCACAGCTTCTCTGGGCAACCTGTGCCAGTGCCTCACCACCCTCTCCGTGAAGAACTTCTTCCCGATATCCAATCTAAACCTCCCCACTTTCAATTTAACCCCGTTACCCCTTGTCCTGTCACTACAGGCCCTTGTAAAAAGTCCTCCCCCAGCTTCCTTGTAGCCCCTTCAGGTACTGGAAGGCTGCAATAAGGTCTCCCCGGAGCCTTCTCTTCTCCAGGCTGAACAAGCCCACCTCTCTCAGCCTGTCCCCATAGCAGAGGCGCTCCAGCCCTCTGAGCATCTTCGTGGCCTCCTCTGGACTCGCTCCAACCAGTTTATATCCTTCTGATGTTAAGGGTAAAGAAAGACAGTATTTCTTCTGTTTAGTCAATATTTGGGCTCTTCACCAGTATAGCTTCAATTTTGCTGTGACGTTTACTTGTAAAATGTTCTAATTGTATTGATAGTTTGGGCCTCTGTGGGATGTGAAGTGCCGTGGCTGCCTGCTTATGGGAGGGTGTGTCCCTCTGTCCCAGCTCCCTTCTCACGTGTGGACAAAGCACGAGGGCTCTCTGGGTGTAAGGTGGGGTGGATGCAGCACGGTGTTGCCCAAGTAGAAAGTTCGTGCTCCCATAGTTTCAGGTACCACTCTCTGAGGAGTCACGGTAACAGGTGGTGCGTGCTCCTGCTCAGTCACAACACCAAGTGGAATAGGTTAAACTCCGAGTCTTTCCAGCAGTCTGGAATGCATCTGGTTGCACTGGCAGCCCGGAGGTTACCTTCAGGGCAGGCAACAGGAAAGGATGCTAAACTTTGGACCATCTACTTGCTTAAGAAAAAACATAAGTGTAATTCCTCAGGTGTGGTTAACTGCCATGGTTGTTGTCAGGCACTAATCCTTAATGTTTAAGGGAAATGAAACGAAACGGGAGAGTGTTTCTGTAATCCTAACGTACCCTTATCTTGACATCAAGTCACGATGTGCTATTTCCGTTTACCTTTCAGTCTTTTCAAAGTCAGACCGAATTCAACCTAAACTCAGTATTCTGCTGCTGACATGGAGGAAACCTGGGGTGATTTTCCTCCTTCAGCACGGGTTGGCACGTCCTTTTCCTGCCCAGCTCCGCACAGTGTTCTTCCACACGCTGAGACGGTTTAGAGGCTGAAATTGTACCCTGCGTCCTGTGAAGGGTGGGATTTGTGCGCAGAGCCGAACGGCGTGAGCGTAAGGCGCTGCCAGGTGACAATGGGGCAGCCTTTGTGCGGATGTAAACAGCGCACAGGGCAGAGTAGCGATGGTCGGGGTGAGGTCGCCGATGCCCTTTTTGGCGCCAGCGAAGGGGTTGGATGGGACTGGCAGGGGCAACGGTAGCGCTCGTCATGAACACCTGACATCTTCGTGCTTATGCTCTTTGTGCTTGGCGAATTCCTGAGCACGGAGTCGTTCATTAATCTTCTTGTTGGGTGGTCTTGCCTGACCTTTTTGCCTCTGATAAACCTCTGATACGACAAATCGCTGATGACCCTCTGAGACATCTTTAAGAAGCAAGCACTACTTAATGGTCTTCACTTGATAGTCAGAGGACTCCTGGCGATCTATTAAGAAGTCGTTAGGAGCTGGTGATGCAAATAATATCACCAGCCCAAATATGTGCAGTGTGCACAGTAAGAGGGACCAAATTGCTCTTTGTAGAACTGCTTCTCATCCAGTTTGCCAGCCCTGGGGTGAAAAAAATGTCCCTCGTGATTTTTCCATGCCTGTGCGTTTTCTTCCCTGGATTTTATACTTCCTTTTACTTTTCTTCACGTTTCGCCCACAGCCTGTTGATTTTTAAGCAAAAAGAGCATGCTGCTCTAAATCCAATGCCTACTGTCAGTACGTGCTTTACTTTGCCATGAATTCCTCTGGAAAACTTTGCAACTGGAAAGATGCTTTAAACTGTGTGTGAACTGAACATCAAATCCGTGGTGGAAGTTGCGGCTGCTCAGGCGTCAGGTGTGGCCCCGACTTCCTTGTGCCCCTGGTCATCACCCCGGGTCGCTGGGTGCTGGGCGCTGCCCAGGAGATGCGGAGCTGCACGGACCGGTGCCTCTGCTCTGCGACCAGTCCATTCGGAAGCTTTTCAGACCAACTTTACAACTGGAAAGGGGTTTACACCAAGTCGGGCCAGTGTTTTATTTTCTGATGTTTTAATTGGCGCACCAGATTGCTGTTGACACAACTCATCGTACGCCGAGGGGTAGAGGATGTCTTTGAAATCAACAGCTTTGGCAAAAGGCTCCTCAGTGAGAGAAGAGTTAATGTCTTATTTCAATTAAAACAAACATTTGTATGTGGGAAAAATGGCCAAATCCATTTTACAGTGATATTAAAAGGCATTAGGGTGTCAGTAAAATAAACGAGGGAGGGTAGCAACGTATTTATCGAGCAGAAACAGCTGAAGACTTTATAAGCTTTATAAGATGAGAAGAATGTGTGCAATGAGGACTTCCATTCTGGTTTAAACAGGCAATTCATTAACCTGTCCCCGTTACGGACAATGGTGTTCCTTAAATATCGTTGGATACATCAAGCTTTTGATTACTTTTTTCCTGGATTTGAATGATGCAAACATGGTCCTTTATGAAAAGAAGTGCCCTGTTTTCATCATCGAGTGTGTGATTTCAACTTCTGTTTCT